AAACGCCAAACTCTAAGAATTTTTCAATCATTGTATCAGAATAAGGGCGGAGTTTTGTGTTATCCAATTTCTTGTTATCACTCAGGTGTAGGATTCGCTTTATCGATCTGAACTTATTCCTATACTCATACAGTCTATGACAATATCACAGTTTTGTCCTCATCTAAAGACCAATACATATCCGTCTGGGATAGGTAAGCTGTAATATCCAGACAAAATTAGGGTCCCGAGAAAATTCGGCAGTTTTTCTCGTGATAGATGAAACTCGTGTCTGTTATTGTCCTGTGCGTATTTTTCCAAGAACTGGATAATCAAATCCATAACATCCTCGTCGACAAACTTGAGAAACATTTCTAACGGTTACAAATCCTCCAATTCGTCCCTCAGTTCTTGAATATGTTCCTATTCTTTGGATAGAGGCAAATTTTGGTGCACGAATGATCCAGATATCTAAGTCGGTTTGAAACTTACGGCATTGTTTTCCAGAATTTTCCGACATTTTGTTGCCAAATCTTTTTTGTCAGATTCGTCATAAATGTCGTCTCGAGCGGTGTGGATCTTGATCTCGAATGTTCCCGCTATGTCTCCATTCTGACTATTTTCGATATTTTCCGGGTCTTCTGAAAAATTCTCTTCGTCTGTGAGTTGATTTACCTCCGGTGGAATGTTGACCTCGTCAATTTACTCCGGAAATAAAAAATTAATGTCGAATAATGTAAAACAGAAAAAAAAAAGGTTCAAGACTAAAGTGCGACAAGTGAGTGAACCTTGGTAACGTATAAAGTAGCAGAGGGGAAGACGAAAACCTATACTATACGACGTGACGGGTCCTCGACGTGGTGCATGGCGAAAATTGCGGTTACCCTGACGCGACGACCCGCTTATATGTATATTTAACCTCGGGCCAATCAGGAGGGTTCTGCCCGCATTCCTTCCACACAGGTTCACTCACTTGTCGCACTTTACTTACCATTTTCATCGTGAAGATCATCTAGCTCCTTCTCTAAGGTCAACTCTAACTCCCATTGCGTGAGAAATTTTCTCATTTTTTACAACAAACAATAAAGACTCATAAAGACTGTAGGTTACACGCACTCGATTAGATTCAAATATTCAAACTCAGAATAAAAACTGCACGAGTAAATTTACCATTAGGCAATTCGAATCAGCTGATAATTCGTGCGACGTGCGCATAACAAACCTGACGACCGTCAAGGTGCCTTTACATTTTATTCCAATTGATTTCAGTTTAAATGGGAATTGAATGTAAACGTGCCTTTACGGTTGTCAGGTGTGTTATTCCCACGGCGCCATATTGAATTGAGAGAACGTCAAATGGCCCAATTATGCTTGAGAAAACTTGTCCTGACAGGTTTGCGACACGGTATTTCACTTATCCGGCCAGCGATGCTAGAACGCAATAGCATTATTATTTATGACCTACTAGCTGTTTCCCGCGGTTTCACTCGCCGTTTAATTTGAAAGAAATCGGATTATTGGAGTTTTTGAAAGATTTTTTTTTTTTTGTGACGAATCCACTCTAGAGTAGGAACTCCGTAAAATCCGTTCTCAGTGGGGGTCTACGTCGAGAAAAGAGTATTTAAAATTTCGAGTCAATCTGACGTATAGTTTTGAAGTTGCAGATCTTGTGATGAGTGAGTGAGTGATCGAGTGGAATGAGTCAGTGGTAGTTCCAGATGTTAGCGCACAAACAAACTCTTCAGCTATTTGAGTTTTTATATTTTTTAATAAAAATAATGCAGTTACGTCGGTTGAATGCGCCAACTTGAATAAATGTGACAACGTTGTTTCATGTTGATGTCAAAAAAAAAAGTTGAAAAGTTGGGTTATGTATGTTAATGAGTTTGTTTATAATTAATAAACAGTTATTATTAATATTATTTTTTTCAATATTCTTAATTTTTATGAAAAGAAAAGTGTCCTATGTTCTTTACTATACTCTTGAAAATATGTGTAGGTACAAAATTTCATGATGATCGGTTTAGTAGTTTACTCTAAAAAGCATAACAAAGAGCCAAACAAATAAACTCACATTCGCATTTATAATATTAGTTAGGATTTAGGAAAAATCTATTTCAGGCAAGTCAATATTGTCAAAGGATGGCCGAGAGGCCGAAAGCGCACTGCTAAGTTAGTGATAAATAGATTTTCTCGAAGTACATTGGTTTGATTTTTCTGATCCTTCGACGAGCAACACAGCCACTCACTCGACTCGGCTTTAAAACTGTTTCAACTAGACCTGGATTTTCAATTTTATGGTGTTACTGGAAATGTAGTTGGTAAAATAAAAGTTATAAAACTTTGGAAATAAAAACGTGAATATGGGTTTTTGATTTTTTGAAGTTTCGTAGTAATTTAAAGAAACATCGAGCTTGTTCAACATTTCCCAGAAAAAATATAAATGAAAAAGTTTCTTCAAATCTATTCCTATCAATTTTGTTCAGCATTGGGTCAATGGTATCAGCTTATATTTCACGCCAAAAAGCCTCCAATTTTTCATAAAAAAATTATTAGTGCAGTGTTGCGTATACGCATCACCGGCTATAAATAAGTACAAAGAGGCCGCACACTAAGTGCTCAAAAACACATCCCAATACGTAGAATATGGATTACTGAGGCCATACCTGCCGAACCAAGAGCTACCTTTATAGCTACCATTTTTAAAAATGGAAGCAAAGGTCAATGTGGGAACTACAGGGGAATATCTTTACTCTCTGTTGCGGGAATGGTACTTGCCAGGATATTGTCAAATCGTCTAATCCCAACTGCCGAAGAAAATCTCCCAGAGACACAGTGTGGCTTTAGACCCAGCTGACATGATTTTCAGTGCAAAACAAATCCAAGAAAATCCAGAGAACAAAATCGCCCTCTATACATGGCCTTCATAGAATAAGTGGAAGCATTTAATTCGGGCAACAGAGAAGCTTTTGGAAGATATTGGCAAATGTTGGGTGTCCGCAAAAGTATATCTAGATACTCCGCCTGCTACATGATAATTTGAATGCAACCCACCTAAGCAACGATAAACAAGGAGAATCTTTTCAAGTCAGTTGTGTGATCCACTCTATATTCTCCATTTATGGGGTCCATACTTCACCTTGTTGAGGGTCACCTGCCGTCAGGAATGGAAATCCTGCCCAGACATGATAGCAGATTATTCAACCTAAACACATTACGAGCCGACGACATCGATAATGGAACTTCAAAGTGCGGATGATAACGTCGCGTGATGGCCAATACAGAGGAAGATCGGCCTAAAGGTCAACTTCAACAAGACGCAGATTTTGCACCAACCGGCACCGGGCACTAATCCCCAAGGCTCAAATATAACTATAAATGACCATTCCTTATAGAACGTAGAGCACTACCCATACCTTGGGAACCATCTGGCAGCAAATGCAACCATGGACGCTGAAAGCCAATATCGTTTGAAATGTACTAGCGGAGCATTGGGGAGACTTCTAGTGAGAGTTTTCAACAATCACATCAGTGTTGAGACCAAACGTCGCGTCCACAATGCAGTTGTAAACCAACACTCACATATGACTGCGAAACATGAACCACCTACAGAAGACAGGTCACCTTATCCGCATATCCTAAACACGTCTTCCACGACAGATTCTCTACAGTCAACTGAAAGAGGAAAATCGAAATCAAGGAGGTCAACAAAAACGCTACAAAGATGTTCATTAGGAAAATATGGCAAAGTGCAGCATCTGTACCTCAGCTACCAGAAGTCGTCGGCAAATGATAGGCGCTCATGGCGTCGAGTAGTCCACGACGGACCACAGACTTTTGAAGAATAGCGACGCAGAAACGAGACCGAAAATAAGGACCGCAGGAAGGAGCAAGAGAACAGAGGAAGAGACAATGCTGCCAGAGGCTGGGTGGGCCAAGACTGTGGAAGAGTGCGGCACCAGAATATGTTCATAGAGCACAATCGAGGAAATTAAGATTAGAATAGGAGATAATCATACTCGGTACCCAATTATCACCTATGATGATGATGAGTCACCATGGAAACTATATCGTATTGGCATTATACAATGTTATAGTCAAAATATTTCCAATTTCAAAAAATTAACTTATATTATATTTGTATTATACTTAGTCCAACAATCAAAGCATTCCAGAATTATCATTTATATATGGATTTTTTTCTATTTTAATTATTCGGTAGGGTAGCATGGAAAATGCTGTAGGTATAATTAGGCCAGTTTACCTAGACTATAATTTTCTGTTCTTGCATCATGCAATAGGGTACTTGCATGGAAAATTAAATTGATTATTGTTTATTGCAAACTGTAGGAAATCGAAAAAAAATCGTTACTTTTTTTTTTATTTCGCCCAAATATGATTATTCTGGAAGTTATTCAAATATTAAGTTTTGTATATATAGATATACTGAGCATGTGCAACGTCACTAATTTATTACACAAATGACGTCATAGGCAGATTTCATAGTGTTGTATCTCCGTCAATTTTTGACTAAGAAGAAAAAGAAAAAACACGTGTTGACTTATTTTTTCATGGACCATCGAAATCAGCAATAAAAAAATTTAATGCAAGGAGCCTATTGAATATTTTCAAGTAGCAAACTGACAAACTTATGTACGTGCTCACTTTTATATTCTCAAAATTATGAAAACCTATGCAATAGACTAGGTATAGTTGGATTTTCTTAAAACGTTCTGCATTCGCCATCTGTTCAACAAATATTACCGTAGGTAGCTATAGGCAATTTTGAAATAATTGAATTAATTAGGAAAATTATTATGTTGGCTTCCGCCACGTCAATTTTAAAACGTTTAATTATTCTCAAACAGGAACAATTGAAATATCAAATAAGAAAATTACTACTTCAATTTTAGTAAGTAATAATTGTTAATAAATAATGAATGACATGAGTCTAGTTTTTGATTAAACGGTTGCGTCGGAAAATGCATTTACTATATAATAAAACTATTCAAAAATTCAATGCAGTTCCGCATTTATACCTACACAGAACAAAACTTCCAGTTGATAATTTTAAAATGGAATTTGCGACAATTTCCAAAATTCTTATGTTAATATCACTTTGCAGTGTAAGTACATACATTCATAGATTAAAAATTTAATTAGCTCACACTTTGGTAGGTACTCATAAAGAGATGCCGTGGATTTGTTCCAACCAAATAAACTGTGCTAAGTAGGTAGGTACGTCGTTATTCCCACACGTCCTATAATATTTTTCGGAAAAATACCTAACATTGATTGGAATTTTCCTGGGTAATTTGTTAAAACCTAGGAACATTTGAAGTTATTCCTCACCTTCAAGTTCCACAAATTTTGTACCTATAACACCATGCGGAAAGTGCCTTCACTGCTCCTAATGGCCTGCCTTTGCGTAAAGAATCACTGAACGTTCCTTATGGAACTGAGCTAACTTGAATAAGAATTTAATGCTGATTTAGCAACTTCATGTTTACTTTACAACAATGTATTTAAAAAGTCACATAGGAAAGGGGTAAGCTCATTGAAGCATATAAAAAATATTAAATAGCGTGGCAATTGGTTAATATAACTCCTCCCTCCTTAAGATGTTGCAAATGTGGATTGTTGTTTATGCAAATCAGACAATTCAATTTGAACATTTGTACGACCTTTTTCTGAAGTTTAAAACTTCCTAAAACAGTAAAACAATAAAATTATAAATAAAATAGCAGAACTTAAACCTATGATTAAATATGTATTCAAATAAGAGTTTCCAAAGGACAATTCTTTGAGATTATGAACTCCTATATGTCTCCTTGTCTTGAAGGCTTCTTCTTTATGGATACTTTGTATGATTATCGTCGAATTATTGCAATAATAGGCCGTGTTATGTTGTGTTGTAAGTTGTTACGTAAGTAGTTCCTAAAGAAATTGGTAAGATAGGATTATCTATTGTCATCAATGTATACGCTTGGGTACTCCAACGAGAGTAAGGAATACTAAGGGATTCATCTCGAGGTAGCTCAAATAAATTATTGTCGTTTAACATTTTATTTAGCAAAGCGATTCTGTGTTTTGCTGTCATAACGTGGACTTGTCTCTATCAAATTGTTTTACAATGATTGGATCTTGTAATTCTGGTTCAGGTTTACGATTTTTATTGCGTGATTCTAAAGACTTTGTTTGTTTCGCTAACAATTTTTCTTGGATTTCTTTATTCAAATTTGCAAGGGATTCTGCCAAACTTGGTATATAGTCAGTTGTTAGTTTATTTTCTATTTGTTCAATTGGTATGACATAATTCAAATCTCCTTTAATCACTTGGAAAGGGGCGTGATTCATTGTACTATGAGTACTGTTGTTATAATTCAATATAGCGACTTTCATTAGATCAATAATATTCTTATTCCGATTTTGGAGTTTTAGACTAGTTATACTCTCACGTAGTGTCGAATGGAATCTTTCGATTGGAATATTCGAATTTGGATTTCTTGGAGTTGTGTAATGAAACTCAATTTTGTATAATGTACAAAGATCTGTGATTATAGTATTTTTGAACTCTGCTCCATTATCTGATATTATTTTTTGAGGTATTCCGTGATCAATAAAATATTTCAATGACTGTGATGTTATCTCGACAGCTGTTTTGTATTTACAGAAGAGGCTTGACCAAATTTTGAAAAGCTATCAATAATGGTAGGAAATTTTTGGTCATTGAGCATATAATGTATCAATATAAATATGTTCGAAATGTTTCGTACCAATGGGTGTTGGTTTAAATATGATTTTGTATGGTTGGCGTTCATACTTGGTTTTATTTCATATCTCGCATACTTTGATATAATTCTGTACGTCTTTCTCGATATTAGGCCAATAGAATCTTTTCTTTAGGGCTCAGTGATTCCTCTATGAGAGGTTTTAGTCTCATGATATTGCTGAGTTTTATCTTGTTGGAGATCAAATTCTGTGATGTCTCCTAATAAAGAGTTCGAGATGTACAAGGTAAATGAATTCGAATTAACCGATTCTTGTAATGCTGGTATTAGGCCAGTGCAAATAATTTTGAATTTGCAAAAATGTTTATAAAGCTGCAACTATCAAAAATAGTTAGCGTTAGTACTCATAGTAAACATACCAAAAGTCCCCATTCGTCCGGTTGTGGCGTCATTAGAAAAAACAATCCGCCATCTTGAATTTCGGCACTTTTCGGAAAAAAATCGTGAATAAGTCAAAAGCGGTACATTTTATCGAAAAAACTCAAGAAAGGAAAATTGAATAGAATGAAAAAATGAAGGAGGTATCATAAAAACTGAATGCGTACCATAACGTAGTAACAATCTAGAATTTTTTGAATTTTTGGAAATTTAGCAAAATCAAGGGAACCAGACCATAATGCAGTTAATGCATTTTTTCAATCCCAATAAGCAAATAAAATTACCTTTTAACATTTATTTAAATAAAAAAACACTGTAAAAGTGTTACCTATACAGGCGTTCTCCTGGGAACGCAGCTCCCCTGTTCCAAGAATAAGGACCTTGATTGTATAATCGGAGTCGGATCGGAATAATGTATGATAGATGTGTCCCAGCCTTAACGCGTTTCGTGACAGGTAAAAGTATTATCCGGTAATCCTGAAACCTCTTGTGTAGGCAAAATTGTTCTCAAGGTTTTATTCAAGTTTGTTGCTTTTCTGCAATTTCGCTCGTGACATTTTTGATAAAATCAAGTCAAGAATGTCATTCGCGAAATTGCCAAGCATTAAACTTTCATACCTTTCGAAAATTTTGCCGACAAATTTTTTTCTCTTGTGATATTATACAGGGTGTCCCACGAGGTTCCTCCCAAATGATCATTTCGGAACGCATCATCGTATGTTCCACTGTATAATTTTCTGTCATATCCTTTAACAAAGCCTCAACAAATATGGCATAGCCGATTTTGTAATTTAATTTTCTAACGAAAAATACCATAATATACCATGAGTTGTATTTAAGATTCGAAAGTTGACGTCACTTGACCGAAATTGAAGCAAAAATGGTAAAATTCGATGACAATGGTAGAAGCGGCACAAAAAGTTACCCAGATCCTCAAAATTTCAATTATATTGGATGACGCGTTCCGAAGTTATCACCTGGGAGAACCGTCGTGGGACACCCTGTATATGAAAAAAATTTGCCCTAACTTTTCCAGCGAGTTGTATTTAGGCAATTTAGCTCAAATTGCCAGGCAACAAAATTCTCATTGAAATATCAAGTTTACTTTAACAAAAAAAGGCTCTAGTGTAATTAATTATAAGTGAGAATTTCATACATCTGTCAAAACTGGTATTCCAACAATAAATTGACATGTTTTGATTGTTGATTTGAACCAATCAGATTGTGCAAATTATCAGATAATTGCATACTAACTGGTGCAAAAACTGGTGTTTTGACATTTTTTGACAAAAAATTTAAATTTTTGATTTATGTAATTCTCTCATTAAATACAACTCGTGCAATGCAAATATATTTATAATTTTCGACAAATTTGCACTCATGCGTTTTTAACTGAAAAAGGCACTCGTGCACTCGTGCACTACGTGCAGTCGTGCTCTTTTTCAACTAAAAATGCATTCGGGCAAATTTCCCAAAAATTATCAATAATTTCCATTACACTAGTTATATTACTATTGACAATTAATTTTCTAATATCAAATAACATCATGAGAGTGAACCAAAGCCTTTCTGTTACCATTCAACAGTGACTACAATCTAAAACTGGGATACGATTTATTCCATCTTATTCGAATTTCTCTTCATCTACGGAAATTTGTTTGTTGTCAAAAGAAATGCCATTACAATTACCACATAGGATTGAACTCGGAATATTCGACTTTATACATGTGCATAATTTGTTACATCCTGACTTGCAGTTGCAAAATATCATATTCAGAACAAAATCAGGTGCCACTGCCTTTGACATAGTTTTTGGAACCAACATGTCTTTTTTTTCATCCCAACCCCAATGTGTTGGTTCTTTTTTATTATTAAGCCAATATTGAATTTGTAAGTAAGTCCTATAGTAATGATTCTCATCAGCTCCGTCTGAAGTTGGAGGCAAAGTAGCTAAGTCAAAATTCTTGCTAAGAACTTGACGAGATTAAGGGTTTTGTATTTATAATATCTCAACTGATCTAAATCATCAATCATCAAATATTTTGTTTTGTTCTGCGATTTTCGCGCCTTAAATATTTAAATTATCAAAACCGAATAATTAACAGAATTGAAAATTCATAAGTTGATAGATCGCTATGATACAAAATTACTTCTCATTGTATCTGATAGATTTTTTAATTCTCTTCAATTTTCATGTCTTCATTTTTTTCAAAAAAATGTACCTTTTTCGAGTTATTCGTGGTTTTTCCCAAACAGTGCTGAAATTCAAGATGGCGGACGACTTTTTTTGGTGACGCAACAGTCGGAGGCATGGGGACTTTTAGTATGTTAATAAGGGGTACTAGGGCTACTTATTTTTGATAGTCGCAGCTTTATAAAAAAAATTGCATTTTCAACATGTTGTGCATTTCAAACTGTGTTATTTGTCTTTTACTTCTTTGATTTTCTGAAGATTCTCCTACTCCTATGGGAATATCTTTCTTTTCTTTTCTTGGAGGTAATATTAGTTTGGATAATATTTTTGCTCATAGTTGCTGCATATATTATCGACATTATCGTATTGTTTTTGCGTTCTCAAACCTATCGCTGCGTCAGTTTAAATAGGTATTGCAATTATTGCGTGTATTTATGACGTCACGCGATAAACAGACAAAACTTTATTCAGGCGTTTCCACTTACCTTATTATTTTGAGCAGAGATGCCAGATTTTCACGAGAGTTCTTAGAATTGTTTTCTTTATATTCTGAATACAAGTTGTATTTAAGGGTTACACCACACCCCCTTCGAAAGTGGCCGAATTGGCTCGCCCAATTTGGTGTTGTGTAGGGTTTCATGTTGATAAATTATTTTTCGTCTTCGCTTTTCGATAGCCTTACTGAAGTTAACTGCCTATTTTAGCCATGCACAAACCATCTCTTATGTGCCAATCAACAGCGATCTGATTTTTACGTCTTCGAAAAAAAGTCGATTAAATACATGGTGAAACTGGAGCATTTCTTACACATAAAACTTTCGTTAAACTATGTTTTTGAAAAAGTGGAAAAATCAATTGACTTGACCTATTTTAAAATCAATTCTTGTTAAAAAATAATCTAAGTATTAGATACCAGTTTTATTGTATGTATTAATTAACACATTTTCAGATTTCAAATGCTGCTGACCAGCGCCAAAGAGTGCTAGAGTTCCACGCCGACTGCCTGGAAGTTCACGATGTCGACGAAAAGATTCTCGTTGAAGCATTGGAAGGAAAACTTGACCACGATGAGGACTTCTATAAACACGTATTTTGCGTGTGTAAAAAAGCCAAAATTATAGACGATAATGGTGTGGTCAATACCGACAATTTTGAAATCGACATGGCTCACGTTATAGATGCTTCTAATATGGATAACGTGGCGTCTATCGTCAGAAAATGTCTTGTTCAGAAAGATGATATCATGACGACTATTACAGAGGCATCTGATTGCTTTTTGAGAGAAAAACACAATCTATAATGTAATTTTTTTGAAATAATTCTAATGCATACTTGAGAAAGTTTATAAATAAATACGCGCATCACTATCTTTGTTTCGATATATCACTTTGAAATTATTTTTGAATAGAGGTTGTACCAGAATTAACTTCTCATAAGTTATGAAAGAAATATGGATGAATTTTTTGAGGCAGGTTGTTACTGAATTATTCCTTTGTGAATAATGATAAGCCTATTAAACCTTGCAACAAATGGTTTATGCCCGCTTTGCCCCACGGTTCAGACTCCCTAATGATCTGATGAAATGTCTACCTACTTGTTGAATCAGTAACAATGGGAGTGAAATCACAGAGTTAGCAGATGCTCTTGGAGCTATAGATGTATGTAGATTTGTATTCATTCAAAAAATATTATTGGTATTATTGGTAGGCAAAATAATTAAGATCTTTCTTGATATAAGTACTTACCTAATTGGCAATATGAGCATTATAGTGCCCATCATAAATGTTGGCTACATATGAGAAAAAAATATATTTGTAGGATATGCGAATTTTTTCATGTGCGTTCGATCCTGCATGTCCAATAACCTCGTAACCTCTATTGTTAACGAAATATCTAGAGGCCCATAATATACCCAGTTTGCTCAGCAAATAATTATTGGGAGTGGGTCAATAGTTGAATAAGTATGTACGGAATGGCCAGGGCACCATTGAATTTGTGAAAATAAATGAATAATTAAATTACGTAAAATATAGAAGTGGGAAAATTCAGAAACACACCTAAAAAAATGTATTAGCTAAAGAAAATTGGTAGTTCTCGAAAAGAAACAAATAAGGCATACAACTCAACTAAATCTTGACATAGGTAAAACCAAATAACTAAACACTGGAGTAATTTCCATATTAAAATAGTGTACCTATATTTCCACGGTGATATCAGACACACACAGTGAGGTTAAAAATCAAGCAGTAAAATTTTAAAAGAGGAGCAGGTGTCGACACGTGAGGGAACTGATTCCTCTAGGAAATCTCTTCAAAAGCTCTATGCCCATGCTCCAGCCAAACGATCTGCATGGGCATGGAAAATGAGGTTCCAAGAAAATGGGGTTCGTTAGAAATGGGGGCTCGTTGCAAACGGACTCCCTAAGTAATATTCAATTTATAAAATAATATATGTATGAAAGAAAAAAAAAATACTTACATGCATATTACAGCCTAAACGATATTCTGGCATCTGATCTGATCTTTTCGCGTTTTCATATCGAAATTTTTGAATTTGCCTCTATGATAGTTATATCTGTGATAGTTATCACCGGTGTCAAAATGTACTTTTAGGTTATCAGACATACAGGATCGATCGCATATAAAAAATTTCGCATATCCTACAAGTAAAAGTTTAAAAGCATAGGAAATTTTTTTGTGAGTAAATACACGATAAATATGTGCTTTCTTTTCCATAGTAGTGAGGTGAAGCTTGTAATTTTGACTCTGCCCTGTCTACGCTATAATTTTGTTATCAGAACATCCAACGAATGGCGAATAAAATTGCCGTACCTATGCTTAAAAAAGTATGCTTATTATTTTAATATTATAGGAACGATAGAATAATGGTAATTTTTTGAACGGATTTTTTGAAGACGTAGAAAAGATTCTACATATTATCCTCTTTCTCGTTGTGTTTCATGAAGTTTAAAATACTAATACAGTCCGGGCTTGGTTTCTATTCGACTCTTTCGAGAACTTCATTATGTGGTAATATTATACAATGGGCACATTAATATGCATCTTGCCTCCGTTGATATTCTTATTTCAAATTTTTCCAACGAGATATTAATTCAAATATTATTTCTAAAATTTAAAATAAATGCTAAACATTTTATTAAACTAGTGGAAAGCTTCCCAAAACTTAGTAGTGTACTGAAAAGACAGGAAGCAAGTTATGAAAATATTACGATGAAACCATTCGCAGAAGTTTCCAAAGTCTGGCATTTATTCACCAAACGATTTGGAAAACCTTTTCGATATGAAAAGTTTTATAGAAATTCTCGCAGAAAGAAAAACAAAGGAAATGGCAATTGAATGCAATGAGAACCAAAACTCTGTAATTACCTACAATTCAATTAGTTCTGGACAACCTCAAAATAAATATCCTCAAATTAAATAGTACAGCAAATTATTAAAACTTATTAAGGAGCGGGAAAATATTGGATTTCTGACTTTCCTACATATTCTCCTTTCAGAGCTGATGTACATAAAAAAAAAATCGGATTATGGGATTGTTGAAACAAGAAAATGTGTTTCACATTCCATCTGTTATGCAAAATACGACACGCCAGGAAGCAGTTTTATACAGCTGTCTGCTGGCCGAGTAAAGCAAAGATGAACATTGCTAGGCGAGACATTTTCATGCCTTTTTTTCGGAAGTGGCTGGACTAAATAGAATTAGACTAAAATTGTATTAAGTTTGTTCCAACCAGCGTCAGAAATCGTCAAGATTCTGCGCAGTAACTGAAAAGCGTTCCAACCAGCCATAATAACGATTAGTAAACCATCAGTTTTCTGTTCCATCCAAGATTCAAAACTGTTTGAAAACTATCAGAACGGTTTGCGGATCATCTGCTAGCCATTTATCCGGCGCATGCGTATTGCTGTTGTGCCAAACAGCTGTTGATTTGTTTGTAATTTGAATAGTGATAAATAAACAAGATTGTATTTTCTTTAAAGCTTTTTGAGTTTTAATTTCTTATAAAATATGAGTGACGAGGAGTTTAGCGAGGTGAGTGATATGTCAGTATACTGTACCTGTCTTACATGTAAATATTTTTAGAGGAAATAGCGTCACAGTATATTTCAGGCTAACAAGGTACACTGCTAATCGTATAGGTGAAACGTTTGAAATGAGCCAGTGCCTATTATAATAGCCAAGTGGGCCAGTATGGGAATATACCTGCTCTGTCTCAAGTAGGTAAGAATACAATAATAATTATTTGCTGAGGTTGGTATTTTTTCTATGGATAATTTAATTTCAGGTTCTCATCTATTTATGGTACATGGGACACCAGACTGTCAGTTTTCGAGACGTTGCTGATAGATTTGATGTGATATGAGTTCAAGAAATAGGGTTATTCATCGACTGACTATATTTTTAAGCAATTTGTCTCTGAAATATTTGAATGGCCCAACGAAAATGAAAAACATATAAGTGAAGATCATTACCGAGCTAATGGATTTCCAAATGTAATTGGAGCCATTGATGGGATCCATATAAAACTAGATAAATCAGAAAATGATCCAGATTCCTACTTGAATCGAAAGGATACTATTCTATCCAGGTAGGTTTAAATTTTTGTATGTCCACAGAAAACATATAAACAAAGTTCAGCTTCTATACAGCAGCTAATCATTTTTCTTTTTAGATGCAAGCAGTTTGCGATCATAGAAGGAAAATACTAGATGTTTTTATTGGATATCCTGGTTCTGTGCATGACAGCAGAGTATTTAGGAACTCTCCATTCAAAAACAGCATTGAAGAGAAATGTGGAAAGTATTATATTTTACGAGATAGTGGCTATCCCTTGCTTCCCCATTTATTAACCCCTTACAAAGACAGGGGCAACTTAACTAGACGACAACAAAATTATAATTTGAGATTATCAAAAAGTCGGTATGTGATTGAGCATTGTTTTGGTTTATTGTAGCAGAAATTTCGACAGGTGTTCCATTTGAAAATGGGGAAAATTAAATTACTTTGTCATTTCATCAGAGCAGCATGTGTACTTCATAACATTGCATTGTATGACAACTTTGTTGTGGACAATGAACCAGTGGAAGTGGCTGAACATAATATATCAGGTGAAGAACAAGAAAATGATGAAGATGAAGATGGCATGGAAGCTCGTGCCATTAGGGATCGGGTAGCAAACGCTTTACCGATGTAAAGCGATATACTAATCAAAAAAATACATAGTGAATAGGAACTGTGTTTTTTTTTGTTGCTTTCACTGCCACTGACAGTCAAAATATATGAAACTATTGATATGATATTCACTCTCTATACTCGCAGAGCCGAAAGCTTTTTGCTTTTAACCGCTTTTAACATATTTTAACTTTCTAATAATAAATAATTTGATTAGAGTCTTGTGGTCGTGAATTTAAAAGTAAAGAAAAACTCAGCCGGTTTTACATATTTTTATTAACCCATAACCTATTGTCATAAAAAAATGAACAATCTCAAAATCTGCACATTTTGTTTGAAAACTCAGGTACATATTTCGCAAACCATAAACGTATCAGCATGAACAAAACTATTCGCTTTTCAGGTTTTTCCCCACTTGATTTGTTAAATAGTGGCAAGAGGAAAGAATTATTCACACGTTCTTAGAGAATCTAAAGGAAAAATCAACTACCTATCTCAGGGTCCATTGTTTTCTTTTTGGTAACTATTTCCTCTTCTTAAATAAGTAAATTATCAGCTATTACAACCATCACAATAAATTGATCAGAAACCAATTATTTACAGACAAGGGCGTTGAGTGCGATATGGAAACTGTTGGAGATCGGTGTATGATTGAAGCTTGGAACAAACCTATTGTATTTAATTTTTTTGAATCTATATCGACATTACATCGAAAAGAAGTTTTCTGACCTTCTGACCATGGGTACACTTATCAATATTCGAAACGTACACGACAAATATCGAATTAAAACTTAACTTATTACTACGCGCTATTTATGGTCGAAATCGCAATCGAGATGTAGCTAGAAAAACATCGAATCGAATATAATAGAATTCCGCGCTGACAGACGTAAACAAGTACCTAATTTCTTAGAATCCTGGCCGGCGTTTCCATCGTTCCGATCTGACCATTTTTATTTTCGTGATAAGCCTTCTGCCTGTCAAGATATACCACTTTCATCTTACCTTTGGGGCAGCGCTAGATTCGATACACCACGTCGTTTAGCCTCTTTATAATCGTAGACGGGCCTTCACATAATGGTGTTAGTTTGGGAGATATACCTTTCTTCCTTCGAGGGTTATAGAGTTTGCCTCACGATCATATCTCGTTTTCATTCATTCACTTACGTGCTCTTTCTCTAAC